CACTTTCCCGCGCCACTCTGCAATTACTTGGGCAGGGACCAAAGCTGCACACAGGCAAGCAGCGAAGGGACTGGGGCAGAGGCTGCAAGCGTGTAGCAGATGCACCCTTGCTTCCTTCCTCAGGAGTGAGATATTTTCCAAAGTGACCCCCACCTGTGGAAAACGGTGGGAGAGTTTAAAGTGTTGACCCCCATAAGTGCCCCGCGACCCTTTCACATTGCTTTTCTGCAGTGAACAATGCCCCTGCCCCTGGGTTCACTCACCATTCTTGGGGTGTTCTCCTGCATGGGTGCTTGCCTAGGGTCACCGAGAAAGTGATAGGTATGTTACCAGCTGTTTATTTTAATGCAGTGTTTCAATGCTCTGTGTGTAATTGACAATAGTTCTTCTGTTTATTGTTAATTATGCCTCTCTAGACATGACCTTGAGAACCCCCTCCAACAACAGGAGAGCATCTGCGCCAGATAAGAAAACGCCCGAGATGGAGCAAGGAAGATATGTTCTGGGAAGTGCTGCTGCAGTCAGAGGCACAAAAGACTGAATGCAAGAAGTGGAGGGAAAGCAACAAGCAGGAAAGAAAAGAAAATGACGCGTACAATAGGTACGCCACAGAGAGGCTGATAAAAGTTTTGGAGCATCAAACTGACATGCTCCAGTCTCTTGTAATGGTCCAGACTGAGCAGATGCGTGCTCGCCCTCCCCTTCAGCACATTCAGAATTCTCCTGGCGCATTCCTTTCTGCTTTCTGACACTTTGTGCTCCCCTCTAAACTCCACCCCCTGTAGACAGCGTTTCAAACGAAAGCTGGACTTAAGCTCAGCTCTGAAAGTCACCCCCCCAGTACCTTCTCCCCCACCAAGAATCTGTGTGTCTATGTGTGTGCGTGTGGTGTTGGGTTGTGGTTTATTTGGCAATAAAAGAAAAGTTCTTTGAATTATAAGCACTCTTTGTTTCCATGATAGCAGATGGCACCTGCAAATCAACAGGCACTTTTATCAGTTCCTTACATTGAATCCTAGACAATCACAACTGCTTCCTAGCATATCAAATTTAATTAACCATTGCAGTCCCAATCATAGCAACAAATATTACTGGTTTTCATCTTTGAAGTGTTGTCTCAAGGCATCCCTTATTCTTATTACCCCACATTGCACCTCTCTAATAGCCCTTAGCAGTCCATCCCGAGTAAATTTTTCACCCTTCCCTTCACAAATATTATGCAGTGTGCAAAATGCGGCTATAACCATGGGAACATTTTCCTCATTAAGGTCTAACCTGCCATACAGGCATCGCCAGCGCACCTTTAATTGGCCAAACGCACATTCAACAGTCATTCTGCACTTAACTCAGCCTGTTGTTGAACTGCACCTTACTGCTATCTAGGTTTCCCATGTATGGCTCCATGAGCCATAGCATTAAGAGGTACGCCAGGTCTCCCAGGATCACTGGGCATTTCGACTTCCCCTATGGTGATCTTCTGGTCTGGAAAGAAAGTCCCTGCTTGCAGCTTTCTGTACAGGCCAATGTTCCTAAAGATACGGGTGTCATGCACCTTTCTGGACCATGTTGATGTCAGTGAAATGCCCAGGGTGATGCACAAGTGCCTGCAAAACCATGGAGGAATACTCCTTCCAATTGATGTACTCCGTTGCAAGGTGGTCCGGTGCCAGAATTGGAATATGCATGCCATCTATTGCAATGGTTCTGAAATGCGGCCACCATGGCAGCATGCAGCCACCAGGGGATTTTCATGCAGCCACGACAGCCTCCTGGGCGGTGACGTGGGGGGGGGGGCAAAGCATGGGCCCCTCCCCCTCCCTCCTTGTTGCTCCTGGATGCACCGCCTGCACTGCCTCTGGAGAGAGGTGGGGGCGCAAGGCTGCAGGAGCAAGGTGAGTTTTTGACCCACATTGGGGAGAGGGGGTTTGAGCAGCAGGCTCCAGCGGCGGGACTTCAGGAACCTGGCCATGTGGCCCCAGGCTCCGACCGCAGGGCAGTGGATACTGACCACACACCTTGGCTCTGGCCAAACGGCCCTGGCCTCCAGCTGCAGGGCTTCAGCCTCCAGCCCCTGGCTGCAGCTGCGTGGCAGCAGGCACTGGCTCCTGGCTCCAGTCCCGGGCTCCAGCTGTGCAGTGGCAGGCACTGGCCACAGGCGCTGACCCCCCAGCCCCAGCTGCAGGGCAACGGGCTCCGAACACAGGGCTTTGGGCACCAATCCCTGGCTCTGGTTGCGGAGCTTCTGTTGGCCTCTGGCCCCCAGTTCTGGCTGTGCGGTGACGGGCACTGGCCCCGGGCTCCAGCCACACGGCCCTAGCCCCTGGTGCTGATTGCCTGCCCCAGCTGCATGGCAGCAGGCGCCGACCCACAGCTCTGTTCCCGGGCTCCGGCCACACGGACGTGGTGGCAGGAGCTGGCCCCAGGTGCCGGCCCCTGGCTCTGGCTGCGCAGCAATGAGCACTGGCTCCAGCCATGTAGCGGCAGGTGCTGACTCCTGGCTCCAGCCATGCACGCTTGGGCTCTGGCCCCCAGCTCTGGCCATGCAGTGGCAGGCACTAGTTCTGGGTGCTGACCCACAGCTCCAGTTGTGTGGCAGCGGGCTCCAATCCCTGGCTCCAGCCATGCAGTTCCCAACCCCAGCTCTAAGTTCTGGCCACAGATACTGAGCTCCAGCCCTGGCCGCATGGCAGCAGACACCAGGCCCTGGCTCTGGCCACGCAACAGTGGGGCTCATCGCCCACCCGCATTGCCCCAGGCTCCTGCTGCCTCCCCCGGCAATGCATCCATCCCACCATCGCCTCTGGCCCCTGCTGCCTCCCCCTTCGCCCCCCCCCCCATCCAGGGCTTAATGGGTTCTGGAGCTTGCTGAGAAAAGTGATATTAACAAACATGCAAGTATCACTTTTCACAGCAGATTTACTAGCTATCTGTGAAAAGTGCTATTGTATGTTTGTTAATATCATTTATCACAGCCTGGCAGGTAGCTACTAAGTGTGCTGTGATATTAACAAATATACAAATATCACTTTTCACAGCAAGCCCCAGGACCCACTAAGCCCTGGATGGGGGAGGCAGCATTATTTTTGTTATTGAAAAAACCTACAAATATACATTACAGAGATTTGGATGTGCATCTGTGCATATTTAATTGTTTTTCCTAAAGTTAATTAAGTATTTTAGGAAAAAAGTGTCAGTGCGGCCACCAGTGAGAGTTGGTGGCCTCACGGTGAGGCCACCAAAGAATTTGTTGCGAGAACCCCTTGTCGCCCCTCTGCAGTTAGGGAAACCCATTTCTGCAAACCCATCCACAATTTCACGCACACTGCCAAAGGTCATGGTCTTTTGCAGCAGGATGTGACTAATGGCCTTGCACACTTGCGTTAACACAGCCCCAACAGTCGACTTCCGCACTCCAAACTGGTTCACGACCGACCGGTAGCAGTCTGGAGTCGCCAGCTTCCACACCGCGATCGCCATGCGCTTCTCCACTGAGAGGGCAGCTCTCATTCAGGAGTCCTTGAGTCGCATGCTGGGGCGAGCTCAGCACACAATTCCAAGAAGGTGGCTTTCCGCATCCGAAAGTTCTGCAGCCACTGCTCATCATCCCATAATGATTCAATCCCTCCACTCTGTGTTAGTTTCCAGAGCCCAAAAGCGACGTTCCACTGTGATCAGCTGTTCCATGAATGCCAAAAGCAATCTAATGTTGCTGCTTTCTATGTCGGACACTGCGTCAGGCAACTTTGACTGTCATTGCCTTCGTAACTTCAAGAATAACTCCACTACTATTCACGATGTGCTAGTAAGAGCTAGCAGAGCAGTGGAGATCAGCGCGGGATCCATTCCTGCAGATAGATGTGGCAGGGCAAGCAGAAAACAAGGTGTGATGGGTTGAATCACAGAAACCCCCTTGGGACTGCCAACTTATGTGCTGAGACTACCTCTAAGCCCATTTTCCCTGGCAGTTTGGGACTGCAGTGCCCTGCTTGGTTGTGCCAGACACACTTGCCTGCTACAAACACAGACCCAGGTCTGAACCATGTTCCCCCCAAAGCTGCAGGCTTAACTGAAACAGCTTAAGAAGTGTTCCTGTCTCCAACACTCAGGTACCCAACTCCCAATGGGGTGCAAACCCCAAATAAATCCGTTTTACCCTGTATAAAGCTTATACGGGATAAACTCATAAATTGTTCGCCCTCTATAACACTGATAGAGAGATATGCACAGCTGTTTGCCCCCCCCCCCAGGTATGAATACATACTCTGGGTTAATTAATAAGTAAAAAGTGATTTTATTAAATACAAAAAGTAAGATTTAAGTGGTTCCAAGTAATAACAAACAGAACAAAGTGAATTACCAAGCAAAATAAAATAAAACATGCAAGTCTAAGCCTAATACAGTAAGAAAGTGATTACAGATGAAATCTCACCCTCAGAGATGTTCTAGTAAGCTTCCTTTACAGACTAGCCTCCTTCTAGTCTGGGTCCAGCAATCACTCACACCCCTGTGGTTACTGTCCTTTGTTCCAGTTTCTTTCAGGTATCCTTTGGGGGTGGAGAGGCTCTCTCTAGTGCCAGCTAAAGACAAAATGGAGGTTTTTTTCCAGGGGCTTATATAGTTTCTCTCTCGTGGGTGGAAACTCCCCTCTCCCCCGTGTAGAATCCAACTACAAAATGGAGTTTTGGAGTCACATGGACAAGTCACATGTCCATGCATGACTCCGTTTTCTGCAGGACTTCCCAGGAAAGCTCAGATGTGGATTGGTGTCTATCAAGGTCCATTGTTAACCAAATACTCCCAATTACTTGAATAACCCCTTCACACTATGTTGACCACATCTGCCTTACGTGCTTTCTACAAACACTTTAAATACAAGCATAGAGCCAAGGCTCATAACTTCAGATATAAAAATGATACATGCATACGAATAGGATGAATACATGCAGAACAACATAAGCTTTGTAATGATACCTTACAAGAGACCTTTTGTAGGAAGCATATTCCAGTTACATCATATTTACACTCATAAGCATATTTCTATAAAACATTATGGGGTGCAACGTCACACAAGGGACGTTGAAAAATGCCACGAACTGACGACAGAAGCACATGGAATGCTGGGACGGAAAGCAGTGCATCACGGGGCATTGAGCCCGGACCCATGATGCGCCATGATCCCCTGCGCCTTCCCACAAGACCTAGCAGCAGAAGCGGGAGAGCTGCACTGTGGGGTAGCTACCCACAGTGCACTGCTCTCATTGCCGATGCAAGTGCCACAAGTGTGAATGCGCTATGCCACCAGTGGAAGACAATGTGAACACAACAGCAATTTTCTTGAAGCGCTTTTTTATCAGCGACCAAACTCTCTGCGAAAAAACTCTGCCTGTGTAGACATAGCCTAAGTGTTTATAGTGATCCTGCTGCCACTAACTTCAAAGAGAGCCCTGTATTTTCTTATTGATGTGACCAAGCATGTCCTATAATCACATTCCCACCCTTTAAGGATCCCTCTTCCTCAAGGCCTGAAGTCAGTTTCCCTACTCCTTGCCCAGTAGGACAGGAATCCACAGCTGTTCTAGACCAGTGACAAGTGCTACATGCTAAAGGTTACCTGCAAATATTTTTTCAAATGAACTGATTGTAAGGTAGTGTGCTGAATGCCCACAAAACCAAATGAGGAACATTCGTCGTCCTACATTCAATACTTGCAAATCTCTTCTAGAACAAAATAACTTTCAGAGGGTAAAGAGTTCCCCTAATTAACACTGACACTGCACAACATAGACTTAGACTCCTCCTTGAAGATCTAGGAAGGGGTCTAAGCCAATAACAATTGGGAGCATTTAACATACCCATTATAAATATCCATGCCAGCAATTTTTTCTTAACAAACAGAAAAGCAGCATCGATGTCAGGAGGTAACAGAATTGTCTCTGGAAAATTCAGATGCCTGCACAAGCAAGATTTGCAAAAGGTATTTTAAGTGAACAAACTGACAGTTTTAATTGTAAAAATTAGGACAGTTGAAGACTGTTTTTGTATCCAGCTGACTAGCTATAACTGAGAATTTATTCAGCCAGGCACCATTGCTCATGCTGGCGATTCCTTCTCATTCAAACTCCCACTGCAGCCATCTTCCCATGTCAACATCTAACTAAGCCTCCACTCCCTGATGCCATTTTTCCCTCCGTGAGAAATTCCCCAGCTCTGCCCTCTCCCATTGCAGCTATCCCTTCCCAACTATTGTGATCCATACAAAGTCCTGGATCTGTTTCTTCTGCAGGAGGGTCAGTTCATTCCACCATCCATCAGACAGTAAACCTCAGGCTGATTTAAAATCAAAGCCACTCAAGATAAAGACTACAGTTCTATTTGTTTTATAGTTTAAATTAGAGCTGGTGAGAGATGACAGGTTGATAGCCCTGGAAAGTAAAGTCCTCATTATCCCCACAATGGCTAAGAGCACAAGCAAAATCAGTACAAACTAGCCCACACTGCCATGGGGAAATCACCTTTGATCAGATGTTAGTTCAATCTCTGTACCTATTTAGTCAGGGCCTCTGCTAAGACCACAAACCAGGGTACCAACTGTGGTGGCCTTTTCTTGTGATGGGCTGACCATTCCATAAGGAATTGAACAGAGACCTCTAACCCATTTCACAGTGGCTACTGGAAGTAATGGATGCTAACAACTTTTGTTCACCACTCAACTGCTCCAGAATCAAACCAGCTTCCAGTGACAAAAGGCCCCATATTCCATTACCAATCCTCCTGGTATTCTGTTCCAACATTCTCTGTTTGAATAATAAGTCTTGGTGATTTTCTATGCCTTTTTTTGAAGACCGAAGTTCTTTAAAGAGCTGGTGAAAGTAACACAAGTCGAACAGTATTTCAGAAAGAGTCACAGTATACAAGCAGTGTTCGAGAGCATAACAAAAGGCCCTGTCGTGCTATTGTACAACACAACCCATGAAGGGCCACTGGCTTAGCACTGCAATTTCATGGAACAGCAGTATTAACTCTTCCTGGAGAGCAAGTGTATCTAATCATTCTAGAATGACTATTCTACTTGTTCTTAATTTGGTGAATGTAGCAGAAGAGTATGGAAGTTCCAGGAACTAATAGATAGTGACACTATGGGAGTATTCATCTCCAAGAAAGTGGGAAAGAATCATTCCCTGTCCTGGAAAGAGCTGCCCACAGACTGTGCCTCCCGTCACAAGAAATGCAATCATTCTGGTTTTATTTTAATACTGAACTGAACCCAGGAGCATTCACTGGCTTTCACACCATTTGGAGAAATGCCTGATGTCTGCTTATGCATACTGATGTCACACAAGAAGTCAAGTTGCTACACCTTACACCAAGGCATCTCCGTGAAACGATGCTAAAAACAGGCAGGCTGGTCCTTGAACACAAAAGCTTCCAAACAGTCATTTGTCTGTTTCATCACACTAAACGAGGCTGGAATATAGAGTATAAAGGAAAGCATTCACAAGTGAAGAATATGAAACCTGAATCAGCCTGCACCATTCAAACAAGACAGACTGAACATAAGATGAGTGAAATAAATCTATTATTTGTAACCTAGGGATTCCATCACTAAACTCTTTAAAATATCCAGTCAGTTGGTCATAAAAAGTTTCCTTTTTCCATAAAAAAAGGATACCATTATGATGGGATTTTACATCTGCCTTGTACAATTTCCATACATAGCTAACGTCTTTTATACTTAATCTCTTATACTTAATCCACCACTGTAGAATCACACCACCAGAATGTTACAGGTCCGAGTTCATTTATACTGCTTACATTGTAAGATGTAAAGGGGGGCGGGGGGAATGTATGAAAGGAAAGCAAATTTGTGTCATTGATTTTTTCCCCCTGAATCTCAGCATCCTGAGAGAAATGAGTTTCTATAATAAAGAAATTTCAGCATTTGTGAGGCAATCCTCTAGGATTTATTGATTTAAAAAAAAAATCTCATTAAACAGAAAAAGAGAGTTTTAAACGGGTATGGGAAAACAAAAAAATCCTGGTCTCTTTGGATCGTCACCAGGCCAAAACAGGATTAGCTTTGTAGTTTCTGTAATCTTCTTCACAGAAGAACGCTAATTCAGTTTCATCTGCTGAAAGGGATAAAAAAATAAATATTCAGCATACCCAATAAAAGCATATGCTTATTGTATTAACCACATAGCAGCCTATTAACATTAATTAGAACCTCAGAATGCATTCAGTGCCTTTTTGGTTAAAGGCAATCACTAGTCACCACCTTGTTTGTTTTTACGTTAGACCCAAATACCATGTGTTTTAGTCTGGTTAAAAAGAACTAGAACATTGGCATGTAAATGTAAACAAACATCTGCAAAAACCTTCAAGACTAATTTCACCAAAGGCTACAAAACAATTTGGACGGCATTCAGCAACCTACGAGATTGGACATTTATTCTTTCTAAGAATCCTAGAAAACAACGACGCTTGTTTTTTCCTCAGTCCATTATTCAGCTAAGGAGGGAGAAAAAAACCTTTTTTTCTGAAATTAGCCTGCAGGTATAATAATTTAATACTTAGAGGATTAGTAGAATATTTTACAGATCACTTTACATTCTCCCTCATGGCCCATCAAAATATGTGTCTGAAGAAGTTAATTTTTTGCCCTGCTAATGATTAATTCATAAGGCTTCAACAATATGCAAAGTGAACGACACAAATTGGCTTCTCCAGCAATACTTTCAAATACCTCTAATTATTCACAGGGGATATGGCACAGCTAAAGGACCCACAAAGGTTCAGAGCAGTCACAATTCTTTCAACCCAGCAGGTCAAGGACTTCCTCTTCTAAAACAATAAGTCAGCAACATTACTAATTCAGAGTGGAGACAAATCTGATGGAAAACCTTCACAATTATTAAACATGGAATTCTTTAAGGTCCTGAGCCAATAAGTTCTGCATTTGCTTTTTAAATTAAACCTGAATTTAATGAAGTCTGCCTGTCTTATACAAAAGGAGCAGGAGAGGTTTTAGAATCTTGACTAGGAAACTGACAAGATTGTTTGCAATGAATGCTGAACACTTTATTAACATACATCCTTGCTCTAGAAATAGGCACACATTAACTTTGCTGACTAGATAATAGCTGTAATAATAATCACCACCACAGAGGATTTCCTAAAGATGCTTATCTAATACCCTCATAATTTACATCTTTCCAGCCCAATCTGCCCAATGCTAAAATCAATCCTCTGGAGTTGAGGAGGGTGCTCAGTACCTTGCCGGATTGGGCTCCTGGCTTTTTTAAAAGGGAAATTCTCGTGTTTGCTTCTAGCAAATGTTGTGCAGCCTACATATTTAAAATCTAAATCTATTAATGGGAGATTTGCAATTGATTTCAATGAAGGCAGAACTAATATCACATGATACTGTGCATCACTTATTTTGTTTATTCTTTATATTACCATAGCGCCTAGGAGCTCTAGTCCTGGACCCCATCGTGCTAAACACTGTACAAACACAGAACAGAAACAGTCCCTATCCTGAAGAGCTTTCGCTACATTTTTATTACTTACCAGAAATGCAAATCTACTCTGAATGGATAAAAATCAGGAGTCGCCAAAGGTCTTACTACACTATTCTGCTTCTGTAAGTCAGTGGAAGAGAGTTTTTCACACTGAGGTAAACTTTAGTATATGAGAACACAAAAACGGCTCTTTTAAAACCTCAAAACTTGGCAAGTGTAAGAGGATATTCCTCATTACACAGCAAGAACTTCATTCTACCTCATACAGCAGTTAGGCACTGACGCAGTTAGCATTTGTTGTAAGTATATAGTTAACCTGAATAATTATGGAGGTAGTGTTTTAATTACTTTTCTTCCATCCTTAAACCATTCCCTCCTCCCCTACATACGGAGAAATAAAAAGTCTAGTTTATAGCAGTTTGTTTTCAGAACAAGATTACTCTGGTGTGCTGATAGTTTACTGAGATTGCATCAAGTTATACCACCACTAGTACTATGGTACCTGTTTCAAAGGTAGGAATGTACAATCATTCATCAATACTGTCTTGAAGAAGGACATCACTGGAGGAGGGCAGCTCTAAACAAATATCTGCCACTGTTTCCCAGCCCCTTGCCTAGACCTCTAGGCCAGTGGTTCCCAAACTTGTTCCGCCGCTTGTGTAGAGAAAGCCCCTGGCGGGCCGGGCCGGTTTGTTTACCTGCCGCGTCCGCAGGTTCGGCCGATCGCGGCTCCCACAGGCCGTGGTTCGCCGTTCCAGGCCAATGAGAGCTGCTGGAAGCGGCGCGGGCCGAGGGATGTACTGGCCGCCGCTTCCAGCAGCTCCCATTGGCCTGCAGCAGCGAACCGCGGCCTGTGGGAGCCGCGATCGGCCGAACCTGCGGATGCGGCAGGTAAACAAACCGGCCCGGCCCGCCAGGGGCTTTCCCTGCACAAGCGGCGGAACAAGTTTGGGAACCACTGCTCTAGGCCATGCTACCTCAAGTCTTAGGTAGGTAAGACTCATGCTGACGAGACATATACTAACTAAATTAGAAGACTTTGACGTCTTCAGACTGCCAATAACCCTCCTTCCCAAAGAGCTGCTTTTCATCGGGATTAAAAGGATTTGGGTAGCAGGGAAGGCTAAAGAATGACTTTTATTATTAATAGTACAGTAATGCCCAGTCCTCTATAAGGCCTTATATCAGAGGCCCATTGAGCTAGGCACAATAGATACATATAGTACGAGACTGTCCTCTCCTCAGAGAGATTACAGTATAGAATAAGGGGTGGTGTGCAAAGAGGAAAGGGGGAGAAACTAGAAGTATCAGGTGTAAATACCAAAGAGACAGGGGAATTGATCAGTGTGGCCCAATGAGATTAACCAGGAGTAAAGGAATGAAATCAAAAGAGTATTTTCTGATGTTCCATTTATCTTTTCCAATGGTAAGATTTATAATAGTCTCCTAAGGGGAGTGGAGGAAGCACCACTGATTGAAGGATTTTAAACTAGATCAGACAAAGTGCTAAATAGTACTGTGTAGGGGGAAATCCTGCATTGGCTGGGGAGAGGCTAGGTGGCCTAATGCTGAATGGGTTCTTCTATTTCTAACTTCCTCTGTGATGTTTCACCCAGAGCGTAAGATTGTTGTGCACCAGATTTAAATAAGCGACATTCTAAACCAATCGGTGGTATCTCAAAGCCTGCGAATTGGGCCTCAAAGTCTCAGCTGCTCTGCTGCCACATAATCATTTTTGCATGGAGCCAAAATTGACATCCAGTGACTATCAGATTTGTCATACATAGGCATTTCTTTACACTATTAGCACAGGACATGCACCATATACAGGGCCGGTGCTACCATTTAGGCAAACTAGGCGATTGCCTAGGGCGCCAAGATTTGGGGGTGCCAAAAAGCGGTGCCCCCCATTTTTTTTTTACAGCGTTCCTACGCCCCCTCCCCAAGCGCGTGGTCGCCGCTCCACTTCTCCCGCCTCCCAGGCTTGCAGCGCCAATCAGCTGTTTGGCGCCGCAAGCCTGGGAGGGGAGGAGAATTAGAGCAGGGGCGGCGTGCTCAGGGAGGAGGCGGAGCAGAGGTGAGCTGGGGTGGGGAGCTGCCGCACGGCTCCCCGGGGGGAGAGCTGCCGCGGGGGGGGGGGCCCCTCAGGGCGGGGGTGAGCTGCCGGGGGGGGGGGGGGGGCGCCTCAGGGGGGGGGGGCGGGGAGCTGCCGCAGGGCTGGGTGGGAGGCGCAAGGTGGAAGTTTCGCCTAGGGCGCGAAACTTCCTTGCACCGGCCCTGGCCATATGCATTCTTCTGTCAGAAAGCAAGGACTCAGGTTGATTTTAACCACGCGTCATGTTCAGCTCACTTTCTAAACAATATTATTTGTGCTGCCCTGAGCAAATTTGAATATTGTGTTGCCCATTAAACAAACCTAATCTCATTTCATTATTCCACACTAGTTCCACTACTTAAACTTCTAACCAAAACATCAGTTTAAATGTTACTGATAGGTTATTTAGTACTATGTCTGCTTAATCTTATCTGTCAATCATTTAAAATTACCCTCAGCAGAATTCTAAGCATACCTTCTAAAAATCACAATTTGCATTCTGAGCATTTGGAGTGCACATACCTGCTGCCCTCAACCCAATGATGTGAATGTACATTATCCCCCCTTCTTCCCTGGATAATTATCAGGTAGTGTAAAGAGCATCAGGAATAGCATTTACTTTTCAGCAGACTATCCAAACATAATCAGCCAGTTATCAGTATAATGACAAGCACGATGATCAGTACTGTCAGTCAATATAAAGGTACTCCTACCTACTCCAGCTGCTTTCAAAGTGCTGTCTTCTTTTAAAATGAGTTTGTCATCATCCTCCAAACTCACTACAAGTTCATTGGTCTAGAAATAAGTAAACAGGAATATAAAGATAAATGCAGGTTTTATTAGCTCTGCCATTATGTTCTCTAAAAGTACATAGATCTTGCTGTATCCACACATAAAAGGGGGGGAAAGGAACAGATAGCAAATGTACCTTAGATCCATGTGCTTGGTGAATAATCTTCATCGTATCTGGAAGAAAATACAAAACTTCCCTTAAGATGTGGTTCATTACACTGGACAAGGGCACTGTGAGGGTTCCATGTTTGTCATCTCTTGAGGATTTTCAAGTGTTCTCTGTTCAAAAAGGGAAAAACAAAACTCTCTCCACTAGCAGCTAGCCCTGCAATCCAAACCTGAAATCTGAGCATCAAGCTAGGTTCTTTTCTTCGTGGGTATTACCACCTGTGTTACAAGTTCTGTCAGGCAAACTAGGGTCTCAAGGACATTTACTCCATCCCATTGTCTTCATCCTATGCCCTCTGTGATACCCTTGCAATCTGTCTTCAATGAGATTGCACAGGTGCACGGAAGGTGACTGGAATTTAATAAACAAATCTGTTGATGCTGCACAAGAAGAAAGAGAACCCAACTTGCTCTCCCACGGCGGTGTTGGCTCTGCTCTGCTAGCAGGAGAAAAAAGTAGTAACAACTTAATTTTGTCACTATAATAAGCAGAGATGGCAGAACGCACACACAGGGAGCAGAGTCAGTAAAAGGATGCCACTGTTACATACATAGGCACTTTAATATTAAAACAGAATTCCAACACATCTATGTTTGAACAAACTCAAAATAGGACACGAGTGCTTTTTCAGCAAAGGAGCTAGAAACTTGATGCTATTTACCCACTTGTAAGTCTGGGGGGGGGGGAAGGGGGAAATGTGGACTAGAGTAACTTTCAAATTGGTGTGACTGAGTATTCAGAGCTCTGATACAATAAAGATCACATTCTCAATTAGAGGTTTAATCCAAGGCTTTAATCCATGAGCATACACACAACTTCGGCCCATTTTGTACATTTTATTCATAGCATTTAAGGAGCATTGGATTGCCTTGCTCTCCCAGTGCAAAGGTCACTAAAGATTTAGCATACAGTGCCAGTTGCAGTACTATCCATATATCTTAGAAGCAAGACATGCATTAAACAACACTTACTGGAATCTTACCATTACATAGAATTACTGCAAGAAGACCATATAATCACACTGAAAACATACTAAGCTTTCATCTCGAGGAAGTGAACATGCAAACTATCAATGACCTTTACTAACCTCAGCCAGCTCTATACCCCCAGTGAATGGAGTCCAAGAGCAGCCTACTGGTTTTCAAATCCTAGTACAACTTCACATCCCCATTCTCTGAGCTGACTTCTTACTTACCCATTCAGTCTCTGAGTCACTTTTGATTTTATCTGTTCACAGCTCCACCACTGACCACGGAAATTTTTGCATTTAACCATTTGCCCTATGAAGGAGAGGCTGTTCCAACCCCACCATGTAGATAAAATATCAGCCTCTTCAAATCCGGGCTAAAGCCTCACCTCCTCCCATTTGTTTTTGCTAACCATTTTACCCCAAACTAAACTCACTTGAGCACGTAAATAAATGTTACCTTGTGTTCCTAGTAACAGGCCTTTTGTGACAGTTGATATAAAATACTGTCATGAGATACTAAACTGTATTGAACTCAAATGACAATTCTTTGTATTATTTGTATTGGGTAGGGCCTAGAGGACTCCACCAGATTGGGTCTCCATTGTGCTAGGAACTGTACCAACATGTGGTAAATGACTGTCCCTGCCCCAAAGGGTTTACAATCTAAAAGACAAAATGTGACACATGTCAGACAAAGAAAAGGATGGAGGGAATGAAGTAAAAATAATGGGATGCTTTAGTACAGACTAGCTGTCTGCACAATTTGTAGATGTAGTAAGCCAATCAGAAGCAGAAATCACAGCTTGCTACCTGCCCAGCCATTATCAGATGACAGTTCTCTGTGGGAAAAATGGTAGAGGTGCGTTTTAAGGAGGGATTCGAAGGAGGATAATAAGGTGGCTTTGTGGAACTTTCCTCATATTGCCTCATATGCACAGGAAAAGGTGCAAAAGGGAAAGAAGCAGACAAGTGGGCGACCAAGGCTGACATTGTAGGTGCCATGCAGGCAGAGTCAACTTAACAGTAAGATGACAGGATGGACAGACAGGAAGAAACTAAACTGTGAAGGGTTCTGACAGTGAGAACAAGAATTTTAGGTATGATGCAATGGAGAAGGTTGAGCCAATGGAGAGACAAAGAGGAGGGGGCCTTAGTCCAAGTGAAGCACCAAGAAGACGAGTTTGACGGCAGCATTTTTAATGAATCTGAGGAAATGAGGCAGCAACAGTCGAGCCAGACTGGTGGAAGTTGCACAACTTAGACTGGAAGCTCTTTGGGGCAGGCATCGCCTTTCATTCTGTTTGTACAGCGCCTAGCAAAATGTGGTCAGGGTCCATTACTGGGGCTCCTAGGTGCTACAGTAATACAAAGAAACGTGTAAGTCAAGGTGAGGGGCAATCAGGGTCTAGATGGGATGAGTGAGAGCGGGGATAAGGTTGGCCCTTTATGATGCTGGCCAAGAAGCAGCAGCAAGATTTGTACAGTGATGGGCTGAGAGAACCAAAAGAAGGCAGAGTTACAGGAGAAGCCCAGATTAAAGGTCTGTGTGATGAGGAGGATGGTGGTGCTACCCACCACCATGGTAGAGAAATGAAAGAGAGAGGGTAGGGCTCAGAGGAAAGATCAGGAGCTTGGTTTTGATTCCTTACATGCAAACTCAGCATAACTGGCACCTACGGCTAAGAGGCTAAGGCTGAACTAGTGTAACAGGAATCAAACTGTTGCCCTGGCGTAGTTCTGTTCCCTTGATTGTACAGTATTTTCTTCAGTCCTCTGAATAGCAATTAGCCATATGTCCACAAGCACATGCGCACAGCAAATCTCCCCTGATGCCATGTGTTGTGACTAGACCAAAAATTGTGCATGGACCTGCAGGTATACCACAGCATAAAGAATAAAATGATAGCACAGGTCTCCTTCATTTGCCACAAAAGGGAAGAATGGCACTCCAGAGACAGATGTTTCAAATCTCTGGAATTGTAAGTCCTTAAACAATACAATATTCACATCTGTCCTCTAAATTCAGAGAAACAAGTTGAAGATAGAGACATTAACAAATTAAACTCTAATCCCTGATACATTTCCCACTTGCTCCCATTTTGCACCTCCTGATTCCCCATCAATGTGAATGAAGAATCAGGCCCTATGCCAGTTTAGTCTCTTGATATAGGCATGTAATTCCCAGCGCCATTCACAGGAATTATATGTGCGCCCCACTCAGGGAGATGCTTCATCAGTGTGGTAGATGTGGTTTGCTAACTCCACCTTGGACAGAGGGAGGTGGGAAAGGCATTGATGGCAGAGAGGCATCTGTAAGGAAACCCCTGGAACAGTTCATCTTGGGAGAGGTTTATGTCTCAGGGAAAGTGTTCTATTGTCATTTGAGTTATTCTTTATGCTGTATAACTGCATGACCCTGCTGTCATCCATTGCACCACTTTTGCTCTAGTCACCAAACAGCATAATTAAAGCCAAATCCCAGAAAAGGGATAAATCTGGACTATATAGAGCATGTTCTATTCAAAGTATGATACTCTCCACCTGCTTACACCAAGGAAACTTGCATGTGAGCAGCATTACTTGCAACAATTATTAGAGCACAGAATCAGATTTAAATTTTACCCCAGGCTATTTCATTCCATTTCATTTCATCCCAAGCTTACATTTAGGAGGTTTCCTATTTACTTTAGACGTGTTTTCCTCCTCCTCGTCTTGTTTAATATTATGTAAATTCTTTAAGTACATAAATCTAAATATTTTCCACTCGGTGCCTTTAGCTCCTTCTTGGCCATCCCTTGTGACCTCACAATTAATAGCCGGGTATTGAAATGCATAACCACGAAGAGGACTGTGTTTTCAAAGTACTGTGGGTCACAAGCTGCTCTGCAGAATGGGAACAGAGTTTAAAAGACACTTACAAAAATGATAAAAAATTAATATCCCAAAATGCCTTTGCCAATTAGCAGCAGAATGTGTAATGTGCTGCCTAATTCTGAAGTGAATACAGAAGTTCATAATAATCGTTGGGTTTTGTAGACACATGATGTAAAGCTAATGGTGTGTGTACGACATTCGCAGTAGGGCTGTGCCAAATTAACCATTAGCTTGACTAGTTGTTTCCTGAAAGCAGCTGCCAAAGTATGAGTGTGTGTGTCACAGCTCCTTTCAGGAGACTAGTCCTGACTTACTATATTTAGATGGAAATAACTGTAATGCAGTTAAATCACATGAGAATTGGTATAACATACTGTACACACATTTCTTAAAGATAAGAAAAATCACATACCATATTTGTATTTTTTAAAGGGAGGTGGAAGTCCTGTTCTTAAAGACACATCTATTAAAAATAAAGAGACAATATGAAAAAGATTGTAACAATTTTCTTTTTATATTTTTAAATGATTACGTCATGAAGATTGCACTCTGAATTTGAAGTTTAAAATAAATCTCAAATCAGGATTTGAGCATCAAAAGTTGAAGAGCAACCGCTACAAATCTGAGCCCAGGTCCTACAAACTCTCTGGTACACTTTACTTGTGTGAGTAGCCCCATTGACTTCAGTGGGACTACCCACATGTATAATGTTCAGGAAAGGTGTGCACGATCAGACCCTTGGAGTCTGATCCTCCAAAGCTCTACTGTCATGTGTATCCTATTAACATTTTCATAGGGGCAGAAGTCATGCATCCCCATTTGCAAATTGCACCCAAACAATTGACACACAAATGAATTGGATGTGGAAGACTAGTCTGCTAACCAGCTCCCAAAAGAAAATCACACTGCTGAAAATTAGCCCCTTTATGGGCTTGGTGTTGAGCAACTCCAGGAGATGCTGAGTACCTGTGTGCATTTCTGGCTGACAATACTCAGCCTGGAAGAAAACAAATCCCAGAGAACACACTCATATAGTGGTACCTTCCATCATTGAAAATAACTATGCAGAACACTTCCTCCCCATTCAATTGAGACCCGCTTTGCTTTCCCTCTCTGCCAAATATTGGTGTAACCCCTAGTCATGTAGAAACAGTGACCAAAGATTCGCCTAATGCTTTTTGAGTAGCTGCCCAACAATGCAGCCCATGCAGCTTGGGGCAGTGAGCCAACTGCAGCACAGCCATGCACAGCACAGCACAGTCTTGCCATGACTGATCATGGGGATTTCCAGTGCAGTGCAGAGGGAGGTAATGCCTACATGTAGTTGGACATCCTCTGTGGGATCAAGGGCCAAATCCCCCATGAATCCTTGGCTCCCCAGCCCCCTCCATCCCCAGCAGCCCAAAGGGGAACATGTGGAGCTGGCAGCTTTAATAGAGCCACAGGAGTTTTCCCATTAATTTGCTCCTCTACACCTGCTTACGCACAGACAGCAAAGTACAGGGACCAAATAAGTGTGTAAGAATAACAGTGCCTTACCATTCTTTACAAATGTAATGAATTGCTTTACAGTCTGGTCCAAATTAACTCCATGATACACCACAGGTCTGAAATTACGGTGCTCAAATGAGCGAACCAGGCGAACAGTAATGGTTGAATTTTCTGATGACATGTGAATTAACTGCAAGCACCCTAGAAGATATTAAAGAGAGTAATTACTGTACAAATATAACAGCTAAAAGAACTCGGTGCAGGTGCATTAGTCTGACATTCCCAAAGAGTTAAAAATTTACAAAATTTTAAACATGCTGTGCCCTCACTTTAGGCCCAATTCTGTACCACTTTCGCCACGACTACGATGGGAGCAAGAGCAGAGCCATAGCCTCCTCACTGACACAGGATTGTCCAGAATTTAAGGGTAGAATTTGACTCTATACGTGAGATGGCCCAGTTCTGCAGTTGTTCCATGTACAGAACTCCCACTGAGAACAGCAGCAGCTCCACGAACGAGCCACAGGGTCAGGCCCTATATTAAGAAGAAAAAAAAGATTGCAGAAAAATGGTTTAAAGCTGTGTGATACATGTTTTGCTTTTAATTTATTTGTAAGTCCAAGTCACTGAAAAGTCTGCCCATCCTCTATGATCCAAAGGATAGAATTTGACACCAGAAACAAAAATAAAAGCTTATTTATCATACATCAGTATCATACATCAGACACACCATATAGAAAAATGCCTGTGCTACCACCTAAGGCTCATCTTTACATTGTATAACAAATTAAAATTAAATCCGACAAAATAATGGTGATGGAGATAACGTCATTTTTGTAGGAATTAGGGGGCAAAATTCTCCTCTCATTTACACTAGTATAAATCCAGAGTAAGCCCACTGGGTTTACACCTCTGTAACTGAAAGCAGAATATGGACTGATAGGTGGGGTTTTTTTTTTTTTTTTGGCTTAAGTCTGCTTTTCTCCCCCTCTTCCCCTTTAAGCAAAGTCAGACAGAGATTTTAGTTCAGCACCTTCATAGTCAATTTCCTGTCTCTCTAGCCAGCAGAGCTGTTTCCTACCACTGATAATATCCCCAGTTTTCAGTGATAGATGCTCTTCCACTTCCTCCATTTCCGTTAGTTCATTAGCTTTCTGCAACAATGACACTGGGCCACAGCTTCAGTACCAGGAAGTTTGTCTTTAGCACAGAGCTACATTTCAGCTGCCTTTGCAGTTATCTCCAACTATCTGCACAATATTTTCGCTCTCTCTTGCTCATTCTATTTGTCTCTTACGTACTGATTCCTTATGTATTTGTTGCTCTGCAATAACTAAGAGACTTGTGTATCTGAAAGGTTTTTAATTGTTTATTTAGCCTATCAATCAATCGTACTTATATGATCCCGATTACCGTAGTATCTGAGCACCTCACAATCTTTAATGCATTTGTGCTCACAACACTCCTATGAGGTAGGAAAGTGCTATTTATCCAATGGGGAACTGAGGCACAAGTCCCAAGCTAGTGTACTAAACTCCTGAGCTATCCTTCTTTTAAGTAATTCACAGGGCTTCACTTCCATTTTTGTTTGGAGGGGGATCCTTCTGTCCCCTGACTTTACCTAACTTTTGCAGGTGGGGGGAGGGGTCACATTTAAAGTTTTGGAACCAAGTTCTATGCCTGAAGCACAATAATCAAGTTAAAACACAGTACATCAGCATCTCATTTATATAACATGTACATACAAAAACACATTCTTTTGTATCTGAAAAGAGGGTTTTTTTAATTATGCTAAAAAGAGGTGAACATTATCCTGGTCCTTCTCCACACAGGACCGAAAGTTGAAAGACCCTTAGCACAGAGAAGGACGCTGCTGGGTTCTGAACGCACTCTACCCCCAGAACTACGTAAGATCATCTTGGGGGAAGCAGATTCTAAGGTGGAGAGGAAGAGAAGCCACAGAGTTTAGCATTCAGCACCTAGATGAGGAAATGCTGATATCTTAAACTGATCTAATAGTGAGATGGGCCAGATTCTGTGCTGCACTTCTCAGGAGGCATGACACAGAAAGTGCAGCCCAGAAAACCAGCAAACTGTCCAATGCAGACATACTGATGGTCAATTGTACTCTGTAAGAACCAAACCATTCCTGGACTTGTGCTTAGATATTTCTTCCATATCCAAGACAGACATAAGATCACCAAGGCTAACTAAAGAGCTGTGCACTAAAGCCCTGCCCCACAGTGTAAAGGAAACCAAAGGTCAGGGAATCCCTTTTCTGTTTCTCATCAAAGAGCCCAAGAATGGATGAGGACTCCAAGTGACAGTTCACCGAAAATTCCCTCATACTGCATCCCCCTGCCTCACACCCAGGTGTCCGCTACAGATAGCCCCCTGTCCTTCATCCTCCCCACTACGGACAGTCCCCTGCCCCTCACCCCCCCATACCTGCCACAGGCAGCCCCCTACCCCTCACACACACCCCAACTGCCGTTCATCCCTCTCGCACGCCCACTACAGGCAGCCTCCCATCCCTCACCCCCCGACCAGCTTTGTCACTGTCATGTACTCCCTGTACACAGTAGGTTGTAGGGCTGCTACTAGTAGGTCAGGCTTCTATACCAGATTAAGGCTACGTCTACACTGCCACTTTCAGCACTAAAAATTTAGTCATTCAGAGGCGTGAAAAAACACCCCCCTAAGCGACAAAAGTTTTAGTGCTGAAAAGCGCCAGTATAGACAGCGCTTTATCGCCGGGAGCAAAGCTACCACCACTCGTTCGGGTGGGATTTTTTTTATCGCCGGGAAAGCTCTCCCCCTGGCTACAGAACTTCCATCATGGAGATACAAGCAAGTAATATGTTCTCTTAAAGATATTTTAATGCAGTGTTTCTCAAACTCTTTGATATCAGGGACTGGCTTGCTGCCTTCCTAAACTGTGTCAGGGAGATCTCAAGGACTGGCACCAGTTCACAGACCAGTCCTTGAGAAACACAGCTTTAAAGCACTTCTGAGTATTACTGTTAGCATCTCAGGAAAGGCATTTTACACACGGTGCCACGTAGTGGCTGAATAGTATAATACAGTTTAACATTCCATTAACATCTCCCATTTTAAGTTTTACATTCCTACCATTTATAAAAGTTACACTATCATACTATCTCTAAAGTCCAGTCTCTCCGAATCATACTGGTTTTCTAATTACACAACACTAACAAGTAACAACTTGGTCATCTGGTTGTCTATTAGTTGCAGTGATTGTATCTGATCAATTTAGAATTTTTGAGTGGTCATCTTCTTGTTCTGCATGAACCATCTGTAGAGTTTGCTCTGTTGATTGTTCCTTCTGAGGAACAAACTGAAATGTCGACAGTTTCTGTTGAACTCTCCATTGTTCGTCTCAATCACATATGGTCTGGACAACAAATTCTTTTTCTTTACAACAGCTGGAGTTGCCAATCCTTTTTCTTCATCCAGTTTGACACAAACACAGTCACCAGGTTCCAGATCTGGCAGTTCTGTGAATGACGTCTGCTATAAAAGTGTTCATAAACTCCTTTTGTCTTTTTATCCAGTTTGGCTACTATCTTCACATCTGGTCACTTTGGAGATACAGTAGAACCTCAGACTTACGAACACCTCGGGAATGGAGGTTGTTTGTAACTCTGAAACATTCATAACTCTGAACAAAACATTATGGTTGTTCTTTCAAAAGTTTACAACTGAGCATTGACTCAATAAAGCTTTGAAACTTTACTATGCAGAAGAAAAATGCTGCTTTCCCTTTAATTTTTTAGTAGTTTACGTTTAATACTGTACTGTATTTGCTTTTTTGTTTGTTTGTCTCTGCTACTGCCTGATTGTGTACTTTCGATTCCAAATGAGGTGTGTGGTTGACTGGTCAGTACGTAACTCTGGTGTTCATAACTCTGAGGTTCTACTGTAGATTCTTTTCCAAAGTTGGAACAGTAGTTCTGGGTTGTCTTTCCATCAGGAGTTGTGCTGTACCAGTGGCTGCTATCGATACTGATCTGTAGCTCAGAAGATCAACAAATGAACCTTCCTGTTGTAGGATTTTCTTGGATGTCTGTTAGCCCTCTCAGCCTCTCCATTCACTTGTGGGTAATGTGGACTGCTAGTAATATGGTCAAAATCATATTTCATTTGGAATTACTTGAATTCCACTGCGGTGAACTGTGGTCCATTGTCCATCACTAGTTGTTCTGGAAAACTGAAATGAGCAAAAGCGCACTTCAGTTTCTTGATAACACTGCAAGATGTTAGGTTTTTCAAGTACCTTATTTCTATGTAGCTAAGAAAATAGTCCACTATAACCAGGTAATTTATGTCTTCTGAATTTGCATAAATCTGCAACTAGTCTCTTCCAACATCTGCCTGGTAGAGGTGTTGTTATTAAAGATCCTTTGTGTTGTTAATTCTGCAACATTCACATGGAGATACTTATTCTTTATGTCCTTGCTGCTCAGCCAGCAGCCAGCCACCCTGCTGTTTCCTTCCTCCCCACAATGCAGGGACATAGGGAGAGTTCTACTGCCTCCTCACTGCTGGGCTTCCTGAGAACCTTTCATTTGTGTAACAGCTACATGTTGCCTCTGTAAAGGAGCATGAAAAGGTTCTTTCAAATGAATCTATGTTCACTTGCGCAATGGATACTTTTATTGACACAGCGTCTTGAGGGAATTTCGGCTTCTCCCTAATGTGATGCCAATGTCCCAGAGGAACTGACACAGCAAGGAACTGAGTTCTCAGAAGCTGCCCTTAAATCCCAGATGCTGACCCTTCTCCCCTAGCCCCTGCAATCCCTTGTGGCCCTAGCCACCTGCACCTCCTCCCCACACCACTGGTCTCTTACCTCTAGTGGCTGCACGTAGCTCAGCCATGTAGCCCGCCCTGCCTGCCTGCCACTGTGGTCCTAATGCCAGTAAGAGCCCAGATTTCATGTTATGTTTTAACTTCATGATTCCATCCGTGTTCTCATTAATGCAGATTTCAAAAGGCCCTACACAAAGTTTTGTATTTTTCCATTTTTCTTTATAATTGGTACCACTGGGCACATCATGATGTTGACTCAAAGATTTTCTCGATTAAGCCAATCTATTCTATTCTCTTTAACTCAGTTTCCCCTTTATTAAACAACACGATAGGAATCCTCAGAGGTGTAGGTACAATATATGTTTCAACACTGCCTCTTGAGGTTATTTATACTCAGACTCCTTCCAAAACTCCAATACCAAATACTCCAAGAAGTTCTGCCACTTTTCTAATTAGGCCCATCATGGCTTCCATGCTGCAGCTGAGAAGGTTGTTGGTGTTTGGTCCTTTGATCATATACATTCTGAATGCAAAGCTTTTATCTTTGTAAGTTGTTTCTATGGTGAATTGGTCCATGCTCTTCACAATACCTCCAGGGCTAGTCAGGATTGTGTCAAGCGATTTCAGCTCTGGGAGGACTTCAAGGTGATTATACATCCCTTCTGGTATGACTTTCACATCTGCTCCTAAGTCAATTTTAAACTCAGTGGTCTTTCCATGAATATTCAGTTTCACTCTCTAGGCAGGCTCTGTCATCACACTTGATAGATCCCAGAAACAATGCCTCTTGACTGCCCCAGTGCAGCAAACACCGGCAAAATGTCCATATTTTGTGTATTTGTTATACCTTGCACCTTTGGCTGAACACATATCTCATGGGCTATGACTTTTTCCATATGTTGTGCATTTAGTCTGAAAGGTTTTTAGTTAGCCTGTGTATAAGGTCAAATTGGTCTTTAATTATAGCGGCTGTGAGATGCTTTTATCTATAAGACCAATAACCAGTCTACCGCTGATATTTTCATGTTTTATAGACTTCAAATCAGAGCTTTCTGCCAAGGCATGCAAAGCTGCTATAAAAGATTCAACAGATTTCCCTCGTTCTTGACTTCTTTGGCAAAAACGCACCCTTTCATACCCCGCAATTCTCTGAGGTATAAAGTAGGCGTCAAGCCCTGCCAGAACTCTTTCATCATTATCTTTGTGACTGTGGTCATTAAAGGCAATGGATTTAAAGTTATGCTCTGCCGGCCTTGCCCGGAGCAGAAATGAAAGACGACATCGGGACGTCTCCAGGTTCCGGGTGGTGTTCACAGCCATGTCTTGCCGTCCACCGGCCCTGGCACAGCTGAGCTTCCGGGGGCACTGAAAAGCCTCATGCCACCGAGCCTGCAACCTTTGCTGCCCACCTGGGGCACCAGTGGGGCTGCCCTCACGCCTGGCCCCACGGCCTGTACTCCTGCCACCGGCAGGCTGCGGCGACGCTGCAAGCACCTCAGGCGTCTACTCCAGACCCAGCCTGGCCACCGCGCTTCCCTGGAGAGACGTGTTTGCCCCGCTCCCACGGCTGGCCATGTGACCCACAGCACCACCTAGGGGCTGGAGGTTATACTACAGCCACCACCACTGCCCCCTCTTCCCCACCCCCACCACAGGCCCGCCAACCGCCACACTCCCCTGAGCTCGCGCTCCCTCACCCCCTGGCCCGGCCCGGCCCCGCCCATCAAGCAGACGCTACCCCCCTCAACTCTTACTGCTACGCTCTGCCCGGGCACTTCCGGCTTCACCGCCCTCACGCCATCCGACAGTGTCACGTGACCCTCCCTTGCCGCCTCGCTTTCCGACGTCAGGGCGGGGCCTCTCTCAACGCGCAAGGCTCCGCGATTGGCCGCACGAGACTCTATCCCACCCCCTCCTCGCTCCTGCCTTCACTGCTCCGTGTGATTGGGCGCAGGTCTCGCTCTGCCTCGCCCCTCGCTGTTCCTGGATTGGCGTCAGGCGTTCTGACCACGACCCTCCTTTGGTGATTGGCGGCGCGGCGCCCCTGAGCCCGCCTCCCGCGCGGGGGGATTGGTGAGGGCCGAGCTCGGTTTCGTCCTGCGTTCCCGCCCCGGTGGAGCCGTGATTGGTCGCTGGACGCCGCGTCCCCGCCCCTATCCCGCCGGGCTCTGTGATTGGGCGGCGGGCGCTCTGGTGATGGCTGAAGTAGGGGTTCTGTGGGCGAAGGCGGAAACGCTGCTGCACGTTGGCAGGAGGGTCCAAGCCAGTGAATCCGCCACACACCGACTCGCTGCTGCCGGCCGCTGCTATGTCTCAGGTAGGGGGAGCCCGCGCTGGGGGGGGGCTAAGGGGGGGGGAGCTGTCCGCGCCCCCCCCCCCGTTCCCTTCCCCTCAGCAAGGGCGGGGGGGGGTCGCTTCACTCGTGTGGTCTCGCCCCCGGTAGCTGGGAGCGCCTCCATTTTCCTTCCCCTCCCCCTGGCTCAGGGGGCGGCTTTGGCTCGGCGCTAGCGACGCCCCCTCCCCTTTCCGCCCTTCTCCCGGGGCTCCCGCTCCCCGCCCGCCTCCCCGTTCCCAGTGCGAGAGGCCTGGGGCGCGATAGCGGGGCGAGCCCGAACCCAGGCGGCTTCTCCTTTCGCCCCGGGCTCCCGCCGCCCCCTGCTCCTCGGAGGCCCTGCTGGGGCTGGAGCGCGCCAAGTGGCAGCTGCCGCTTCCCCCCAGCCGCTGCGGCGCTAAGCCCTGGGTCTGCAGGCGGCCGTGCGGTTGGGCAGGACCCTACTCCGACCCAGCGTCCACTCTGAACCTGGGTTGAGCGCTACCCTGGGGGGCTCGTGGGGAGGGGACGCGCGCCCAGCACGGAGGTTATAGACGGTGTAGGGCACGTCTGCTGCATCCTTCTTGTTCTCCACCTCCCACTAACCCGAGGCCTGTGTAGTGCTGCTATTGCAAGTAGTTATGGGGGGGTGGTATTAGCCTTACAAAGGGAGAGGCGTTTGTATGGGTGCAGAGGGTCGCATAAGGGCGCCCTGGGAGGTAGCGGCGACTGAGAGAGTCCAATGTCCATAGGGCTAGTAAGGGCATGGTGTGACGATGCCATGGTGAAGAACAAGTGGCCTGATTATCAAGGTTCACACCAGTGTAACTGGAAGAAGCACTGCTGAAGCCACTGGAGTTATGCTGGTGTCAAGGGAAAGAAGACTCTGTTCCAGAGGCTGCAGTCTTTCTCTTAACACATCCAAGAGCTCTGATGGCTTGGTAACAACTAGGACACAAGTTGTGGCATTGGTAGCTTGCTGAAGAGTATGAGGACATGCTAACTACTTTAAGTTTGTGTGCAGGTGCAGCTTTATAAAATAAGGGATAGCACTTCCCTTACACAAAAGTGGCCCATAAAACACTTGTATAAACATCTGCTGTGTAACATGTTGACACAATAAACTGATGGGGGTGGAGAGACTATGCAGGGAAGAGGCCATTCACTTGATGGATAGGGTGGGAAATGGCCAGTAATTACCAGCAAAAATGGTAGGTGCCAGCTGTCTGACTATGTAATCTCAGAATCACCAAGTGAACTTTCTTAATTGGAGGAGTTAAGGGGTAGGGAAGCTTAACATTTTAAGGCTGTGTTCCAGGCCTCCTTTCTGCCAAATCCTCACTGCAGATTTCTCAACTTCTTTTCCCATGCAATATTTGTAGCAAACATCTCTGATCCTGCTGCTGCTTTCACAATAGCAGACTTTCACTCCTAATCCTACAGGGCACAAACTGGTTAGTAACATAGTTCAATTGACTTTTAATGTAAGTGTTACAATTATTAGCATTTCTATCTACACAGAACGCAATGTTTATAATCTCGTCTCACCTTCATGTAAACTCCAGTCATGAGACTTGGTTTCAACTTTAATTTTTGTGTTCTTCCTGCTATTTTGTCATCTTCAAGCAGACCTTAGATTTGTCAGTTCAAAATTTAAACTAATATCTACTGGCAAGAGTGAAAACCAACATAGAAAACTTTTGATCTTTTCATGCACTTTCCTTTTCATTTAGGCTGAGTTTGATAAAGCTGCTGAAGAAGTTAAGCAACTGAAATCTCAACCGACAGATGAAGAAATGCTGTACATCTACAGTCACTTCAAACAAGCTACAGTTGGAGATATAAACACAGGTATGTATTGGAAAGGAGTTCTAGGCTTGAAGAATAAAAAATGCTCACACTTTTTTTTCTCAATAAAGAGAGGTGCTCACTTAACACTAGCTGCTAATGGCTTTAGATGTACATCAGTCTTTCTGTAAATTACTCTTAAGTAGTGAAACTGAGTGGTGTGTAATGCAACAATACCTTGACCTCTAGCTCCCAAATCACTGACAGTAAACAACTATGCTCCTGCTTTTTTGAGGCAAAATCTCTATGGTGTGGGCAAAGAGTGGGTTTCTGAAAGTTTGGGAGTGCTGCTGCTTTGGCATAACCTTTACATAGAAATGTACGAAATTACATGACCCAACCCTCTACTATTCAGCTGAGAGCTGCTTGAACAACATAAAAATGACAGGTTTCAGAGTGGTAGCCATGTTAGTCTGTATCAGCAAAAACAATGAGGAGTCCTTGTGGCACCTTAGAGACTAACAAATTTATTTGAGCATAAGCTTTTGTGGGCTTTTGTTAGTCTCTAAGGTGCCACAAGGACTCTTCATTGTTTTTGCTGATAAAAATAATGGTGTGTTCTTACCCTGCATTTCATTCTCTATATCATGTACTTTTTCCACGTGGCATTCTTAACTACTCCTGACCACAGATCCTCCCATTTTTATGTGCTGGAGCAATTCTGTTTCAACCCTCTATGTAGATGTATTTGGCCAGTAAATTGTATTGCACTCGATTAAGCAATGCCTCATTAAAATAAATAGGGTATTGATAGCTATGTAAATGCCTTCCTAAGCAAATAACTGATTGTCCTTATTCTCAAAACTTAAAGTAGCTGCCCCTAGTAGACTGATGTAGGGAAAAGCAACATAGTCTGGCACTAGCAGTAGGGTAGCTAATAGGTGAAAAGCAAGTAAACTTATTTCTGATCCTTTAAGGCCAAGTACAAGTTGTAATTAAAGGTTTTTCACTGGTTTAGTTTAGACTAGTGCAATTTAATGACACTTTTGACTTTTAAATCTGGCCTATACTTGCCTGTGATGTAGAGGAGTATGCTAAGCATTAACTCAACTGATAACCAGTTTTGAACAAATACTAGTTAAAATACAGAAGGAGCACTGGCTGAAGTTAAATCAGTGCAACTTGTGAATATAGAAAACCCTAAGAATCCTGTATCCTTTATACAGCTGCTGTGTGAAACCGTGTTAATTTTCAGTTTTTGGGCAGCTGTGACTAAGAGGCTATCTAGACTAGGAGAATAGCACTGATGTAGATGCTGCATCTATGGAAGTGGGGCTTGAAGTGGAGTGGTTTACCAGGGTAAACTGCAGCATACAATGGACATCTGCATTTACATAACTGCACTGGTATGAAAATAGTGTAGATAAGGCCTAAATAGTACTACTTCTAAAGAAAACCAAAGGCAGCAGAAGCCATAAAAATTAAAGCAGGTGCGTACTGAAACAAGAGAAACTTCAATCAGAGCTGGCTGTGGGTTTGGACGAGAAACAAATCCTCCCACAGATGAGAGGTAAAGTGCTAAGCCTGTTCCACAGCTTTACTTACCTTGCGATGCAGACTTTCATCGTTTCCCAGTCTAATGATGCAAATGGTCTTAGTGGTCTTGCATAACATCTGAAGTGAATTAAATCTAGAAATGGAAAAATACCAGCTGAAGCACTGGCCTACTGAACCAGTTAGTGGTGAGGGCTATCAGACATGGGTCTGGTTCCAAGCTGCCTGGAGTTGGCACACTGTAGCTTTAAGTGTGCACACAGAATTTTTTTATAGACAAACTTGCACTGCACTGTAGGCCTGACTCTGCAAAGGAGCAGAGGTGAAAAGAGCCAAGCAGTTTTCTAAGCTTAGGCTTCTGGCACAGCTTGGAATGCAAAATTACTTTTGTTCAAAGTCAGATTAGTGGTCTTGAAGTGTCATGGCATGCCATTACAACTTGCATGATTTTTAGTGGTGTTATTATGAAGCATCAGTTCATGTGGCGCAATAACCTAGTTTCCCATTTTGTTACGGGGTGGAACTACCAACTAATGCTATAAGTCACTCCCCTGCTGTAAGGCTGGCATGAGGTTAATGCTCCACCTCTACATCTAGCCACTGGTCTCATAGCACTTACCCATGACTGCATATTAAATTTACCCATATTAAATTTAATTGGGAACTCTGAGAACTTTGCCTCGTTTGAGAAGACCAAAAGCTGGAAGTTATTCTTGTCTATTATGCCATCTCTTTGCTACAATATCTTTCACATCTCTTAAGAAAGAGTTACAGTTCAGCACCTCTGCTGATGTAGCAGAAAACTCTAGGGAATAGGGAAACTGACATCACAAGATGATGAAACTGACAGTGCTGTCAAGTTCACAAAGTAAACTGAAGGCTGTAAATTGAGTTATAGTAAACGAGTTCTCACCAACAATAGATAATAAACCTAGCAGAGGTGACCATGTGGAGTGCTGTTAACAATAGAAAGTTATAACGTGCTTTCTCCAGCATCTGAACAAAATAGCTCTTTCTAGAGTACACTCTAATTCAGGAAGTATGATGTCTGAAATGAGAGACCATGTTGACACAGAACCATCACATCAAGTGCAATCTCCTGAAAGGATGAGAGATTCCCAGCAGTGTGGTTTGTATCCACTGACTGTCTCTTCTGTGGCTAATAATATTGTCTGTCCTAGAGCGCCCTGGTTTTCTTGACTTCAAAGGCAAAGCGAAGTGGGATGCCTGGAATGCATTAAAAGGTAAGTTTTTAATAAAGATGACATGAAAACAGCAGGGTTGGTCACAAATCCTAATACTTGCTACTTAATGAATGAGTAGAAGTCTTCTATGGGCATGGCTACACTTGTAGTTGTAGAGCGCTGGGAGTTAAACCAGCCTTTGGAGATGGCAGCAGGGAAAATGCTGCCGAGTGTTTACACTCTTAGCTGGAAGCGCACTGGCGTGGCCACATTAGCAGCTCTTGCAATGCCACAAAGAGCCATGCATTGTGATAGCTATCCTGGCATGCAAGTGGCTGCAACGTGCTTTTCAAATGCGGGGGGTGGTGTGGAGTGTGTGTATGTATGTGGAGGGAAAGAGAGTGGGTTTTTGGGGGGCTGAGAGCATGTCCGCATGCTGTCTTGTAAGTTCAGACAGCAGCAGACCTCCCTCCCCCCCGCGCCTCTCTCACTCAAAGCAAGCAGCATTGCTTTGTCCCAGAGCAGATAAGCAATCAGCTGTCTGAAACAGAGCTTTGAAAGGGCATATCCGCATTCCTACAGCGAGTTCAAAACAATGACAAGCGTGGCCACTTGACTTAAGGAGATTATGGAACGTTTCTGGAGGTCAATCAGAGCGCAGTAATGTACCTTGTTCACACTGGCGCCGTGGCGCTCCAGCAGGGACGCAGCAAACATTATTCCACTTGCTGAGGTGGCATACCAGCAGTGCTGTAGCTCTACATGCCTTGCCAATGTGGATGGGTAGTGAGCTAGTGTGCCTGGAGCTCCTTTATTGCACTGTAACTCGCAAGTGTAGCCAAGCCCTATGACTACATGTCCAAGACAATTAGGAGTTGCTGCTGGCAGGTTCAGGCTCACTTAAATACTCTGATGTAATTAATGGATAGTTAACACTGTAGGATAACAGACTTAGCACTTCTAATGTGGTACTTCTGTGTTGGCATTGAACTGTTCAAATCAATACCTAACTACAAAAGTGCCCAGGTTATTTATACGTATCTATTTTAGATCTTTATATAGCCATCACCATAGTATCTGATCACTTCAGTCTTTAACCTTTCCTCACCCATCCTTCTGAGGTGGGGAAGAACTGTTAGCCCTCTCTGCATATGGAGAACTGAGGCACAGACTGACTTGCTCTGCACAGACTTCATGTGTAAGCTTGGGCAAGAAATTGATCTTGGTCTACCAAGTCCCAGGCTAGCACCCAAACGACTGGATCATTCTTCCCCTCATATATACTGTTGATTCAGTTACTATGTTCCATTGCATTAACTAAATTGGTCTTCCAATCAAGAGGGATTATCCTTGAGCCCTCAGCTCACCTCATCACTTCACAGATGTGAAGTCCCCCAGACTAAGGTTGCAGTGTACCTAAAATGCAAACTGCTCTGCTGAGCCACCCTCTCCTAACACAGCGAGGGGTACATGTATTGCTGCTATTTGCACTATATCCAAATGTTGCTTTGGAGAGTAAGCTTGTGTCTCAAGTCATTGTTCAACAGTCATTGCAGAAAGAATGACAGATGCCCCTGCAAACAAATCAGAGCAGGTCTAATATTAGATCCAACAACCTGGAGTGTCCCTCATAACTTCCTTACAAGACTGCATGCCACCTAGTCACACAACAAGGAATTGTAACTTGGCATTAAGATGTCTTTTAGACACAGTAAACTGGCTTGTAACTGAACAAAGCTGCATGCTTTATCAAAGTACCTTCCAGGGGGAAACCCTGAAAGGAATGTAGGCTCCTTCTCTAGAAGGCAACACCAGATCACATGTGATACCAAATGATAACCTACAAAAGTGTTGTAAACTGTCCAACCAAGGATATAAATCCCACTTCTACATGTACTGAAATTTAGGGTTTTTTTTAATATTTCCTGTCCTGCAGCTGCTTTGTTCTCCAGTTACAATTTAACCCCACCCCTGCTGGGGAAAGCGCTGTCACCTGGAAGTAGTCCAGGGGCCCTGTCAGGAATGAGGCCAACCTACACTTCCTGTGATGCAAGGGATTACAGCTGATGTTGCTTGGGGCCAACTTGGTGGGAAAGAGTAACAACTCCACTTCTAACCCCAGGGCCCTTTTGTAGGGGGAGGTGAGAGAGGCAGGTAATGACTGCTGCTGGGAAAAGGGCAGGATACAGGATGGGTGACACTCAGGGTACGTCTACACTTACCTCCGGGTCCAACGGCAGGCAATCAATGTTCTGGGATCGATTTATCGTGTCTTGTCTAGACGCGATAAATCGATCCCGGGTCGATCCCGGAAGTGCTCGCCGTCGACCCCGGTACTCCAGCTCGGCGAGAGGAGTATGCGGCTTCGACGGGGGAGCCTTCCTGCAGCGTCTGGACCCGTGGTAAGTTCGGACTAAGGTACTTCGAATTCAGCTACGTTATTAACGTAGCTGAATTTGCGTACCTTAGTCCGAAGTGGGGGGGTAGTGTTGACCAGGCCTCAGGGAGTAACTTGTGTTCTGCAGGGGCTACCCCCTTCAATGTTGTGCCTATAGTGCTAACCTTATGAATAAGATGGTCTCACCAGATCAGTGGTTTTCAACCCTTTTTTTTTTTTTTTTTCATTTGCAGACCCTTAAATTTCAAATTGAGGTGTGGACCCCTTTGGAAATCTTAAACCTAGTATGTGGACCCACACAGGTCTGCAGACCACAGGTTAAAAACCACTGCACTAGATCAAGCAGGAGTGTAATATTTTCTCATTTTGTGACCATTTAGGTTGCTGCTACTAAATAGCCAAGTAGTTGAGCATAGGTTTAAAGATTACAGCACAAAGGCTGGGCAAACAAATGAATCCCTAGTAGGAATTGCAGCTATACCTCTAAAGTGAGTGGCCCACTTTCATTCACTGAAGGTGCTATAGCATGCAAATTAGAATGTCTCCCCTGAATTGCTTGCTATGAATGGGTTACGGCCTCCACTAATCTCATGATTCTGTGGCATACTCAAAGTATTCTGACTACTTGGTAATATTTTACTGTTCCAGTTGAGTTCTTACTACTCTACTGCAGTATGAGGCTTACAGGGCTGGCTTACTCACCAGCCCTGTAACTTCACAATTCACTTCAGTTAATACAAAGTAATTGACATGAAGGAACTTCCAGGAAGCAGCCGTGTATCCTCTAGCTGCTTTAAACTGGTTTGCCCATGGTTTCTAGTGCAACATAGATCTTACTAGACAACTGAAGTGGGGAGAACTTGGTGGTTTAAGTGTAACAAGTGGCTATTACAAGTACTCTATGGGGAATATGACTAGAACATTTGTCTTCATCTGATGCATGTCTTCTGATTTCAGGAATGGCCAAAGAAGAGGCAATGAAAGCTTACATAGCAAAAGTGGAAGAATTAAAGGGCAAATATGGCATCTAAGAATTGCATCCACTCCCCACTTGTGGACCTGAAATGTGCCTTATTTCTTAATATGTGGGATAACTGATTACTGGGGGTGACTGGAATGTGTAGTGTACTGCAGTTTGAGTTCTGCAATTCAGATTAAACTTCTGTCTAATTGTAAATTACACCTAATGAATTGGGTAGCTTTACTCTGTGAATCATTAAAGTACATTTGTTACTTATTTGTGGTGGCCACTCTAATACAGGGATTTGGCTACCATTTGCTCATCTCCACCTGATAACTGACCGTGAGAAAGCTTTGCCCAAAGATTAGCTATGATGCAACACTTTAAAAGTTTCTTGCACTTCTTGTTTGTCATTACAAAACTGAAGCTGCTAGCTATCTGTTTCCAGAGCTGTCCTGCCCACTAGAGGGCTCTAATAACCTTTCATAATGCAATAGTAACACTGGCTTCATCAAAATTAAACAGTCATTGTGGCCACAATTACTATCTCTAGGATAGAGGAGACACTTGATGGGTAATTTGCAATTACTATAGGCTAGAATACTTGGAAGTGTGCTACAATAGTTCATGATAAACTGGCTAACCTTAAGACTATAGATTTAAAAAATTTATTGAAGCTAATGTTAAAAAACCTTCTCCATATTCCTACTAATATGGATTTCTACACTGACTCTGCTACAGCTAGTGACCTTTACGCAAGCATGCTTGATTTAAGCCATTAGAAAGCCTTCCATCCCTCACAGTATAATCATCTACATAGCATGCTTTGTGAGGATCTCAAAGAACTTCCCCAAGTGGGAAAATTCTCATGTGTTGGAAGAGGGAGAGCAGGGGAGATTTCTGGTAATTTGCCTACCATTCTGCAGTCAATAACTGATCTCTGTATCCAGTGCCAATCACTAAATCATATTGTTGTTTATATGCCATTCCCTCCCATTTCCCTTTCTTTTAATGTTAAATATAGGTTAACAGCCTTTCCCTCTGTCTGGATACTTTAGTTTGTTGCTGTCATTACCAGCATTGTAGTACCAGTCGACAGCATCTCAAACACCTCCCCAGCAATAAAAATCTTACCTGGGAAAATCCTAGGCCTAGCTTTCAAAGGAAAACTTTCAGGAGCATTTAAGTATCTTGTTTCAGTGGTGGTTTTGTAGCTACTTTTGTTTCAAAAGATGAAGCCACAGCATGGATTAAAGACTGTCAGCTCAGCATGACCATGAATGAGGATTGCTGAGAATTCAGATAACGAAGTAGGTTTTTTGTTTTGTTTTGTCTTCTCTCCTCCCCTCCCCCCCCCCTTGAAAAGGTGAAAAGTAACCCTCTTGCAGGATAGATAAAAGTAACACTATAGAGTCTATCATACTAGCTGCTTGGACATAGAGGAATAGTACATGCTGCAGGTACAATATCATGGGTAAATAGGATGGGGGCCCTTTGCCAGTTGTCCTCAGGTAAGCCTAGGGGTAGTGCACTCATGATTTTCTAAATTCATGGAAGTGCAAGGATTAGTGGATTCCAAGTAGCTGACTGTCTATATTTTGTTCATGTTAGTTGTATCTTTCTTAAACTTCAGAAAATCATTTTACACTCAAATCACAGCTACCTCTGTTCCAGCTACAATGCCAGCAGAAGGCTGAAATGGCTTTACCTCAGTTCCTCCCATGGATTTGAATGACCCTGGCCCACTGCTGTTTTAACTTAAAAGGTTCTGTTGTAAACTTGGTGCTGTAGTTCAGCTTTTCAACTGAAGCAGGGGTGGGAGTGGGGAAACGACCTTCTTTAAGATAGAACATTTATGGGTTTTTTTCCTCTCCTTTGTTTCCTCCTGTTTCATGTCTCTCATTCCCTGCCTCTTCTGATTTTGCTCCACTTTGTTGGAAGCTTAGTGTGTTTTATCATTTCCCTAGTAAAACACACAGGGTAGGAGTGGCAGCTCAGTTTAACCCATGAGAGAACTTTGATTCCCTGCCAGCCCTAAATGCTTTAGGTGGCTCCAAAACTCAACAGCTGTAGTTGTGAAACCAGTGATCCTTAGCTATTTCCATTAGCTATTGGAGTAGAATCGAACTACTACTAGCAAATACTTCCACGTCTGCTTTTATCTGCTGGAAGGGTTCATATTATTCCCTAACAGTTTGCTAATATGTCTTTTGTCAGACATAATTGCCACTTGCATGGCATTTTCAGCTGCCAGAATCTCTACTAGTAGAACAGCCAGATCATCTTATGGATAAGGTACATGACTGGGCCTTGAGACTGAGCAAATCACTTAATTTTCCTCTTCCTCAGTTCCTTGTTTAAAATGGGATTGTAAGTCTTCTGTTCTCCCCCTTTTGTCTACTTAGGTTGTAACTTTTTGGCAGGAACTCTCATGTCATATGAGGCATTGCAGGGTGGGGCCTTTACGCACTATTGGCTATTTATTATAAAGTAGTTTGCCAGGATCTGGGACTGACACAACTTTCTGGTAGTAAGCAGCATTGGCAAGGCTCCTGCAGTGATGATATTGTTTCCTGAATCTCTTTCACTGTCTTTGTTCTCCATCTATGTTGTTTAGCCTGGTCTTCTATATCCTGACAGTTTGTGGGCCATATTTCCATCATGAGAAGATTCCTGTGCATTGATATCTTTGATCAAAAACATCTGAAGGTATCAGCAGTTAGGTCCATCTGCATCTTGATTTCCTGAAATATTTTCATGCATGACTGACCATTCTTTTCTCAATGCAATGAGTAATGTTGCTTTTCTGGCAACTGCTTTGGCTTGTGCGGTCTCTGCTGCATCCGAAGTCGGCACAAGTTTTCTAGCAGTTGTTACTAGTATCTGTCTTAAATTCATCTAAAAAGCCCTCTGCCCATTAGCTGGTGTGTAGTGCTAGTTGAAACTTAGTTTCCAATCCATGAGAAATTCTGGTATTTTGACATTTTGTTTTTGTTCTGAACTGGAATGAAAACATTCATTTTCCTGCAAAACAAAATGTTTGGAAAAAAAAAATGTAATGCATAATATAAAATTTCAGAATGAAAAATCAAAATATTCTATTCCTTATCAAAATGCTTCATTTCAATGTTTTAAACAAAATTTCATCACAATTAAAATGTCCCTATGAAAAGTTTCAATTTTGACAAAATGGCATTTTCTAGTGGTATAATGTTCCACTGGAAATTTTTTACCAGCTCTGCTGGTGTGTGCCATTTTAGCAGCTGCTGAACAGCAAGACTCCTTGGAGGCTGAGTACCAGGAGGCCAGTGAAGAGATCTGAATCCCAGAGATCCTGGCTTTCTGAGGAGGACTGTGACACCAGCCAACTAGAAGACAGGCCCAATTCCTGTCCTCCGGTAACTGAGCCCGATTCCTAGGTAGCAGCCCAGGCTAGGACTGATGCTGAAGTTTCCTCCATAGGATCTGCCTCATGTATCTATCTTTACAATTTATTATTATTGTGCCATATGGCTGTGCTACCTCTGTGCCATTATAAAATAAATAAATTAATGGAGATATCCCATCTCCTAGAACTGGAAGGGACCTCAAAAGGTCATCGAGTCCAGCCCCCTGCCTTCACTAGCAGGACCAAGTACTGATTTTGCCCCAGATCCCTAGGTGGCCCCCTCAAGGATTGAACTCACAACCCTGGGTTTAGCAGGCCAATGCTCAAACTACTGAGCTATCCCTCCCCCCTGATTGTAAGCAAATGGCGCAGGGGGTGCAGTTATTGTAAGCCGCTGTCTTTGAAGCCCCTTCCTCCATTCCTTGGCCAATGTTGTCCATTTCTGCCCTTCCCCCCCAGTACATTTTTCCAAAACATTGGCTGCTCCAGCTGGGGAATTGGTCTCTGTCTCATGCTAAAGCCCTAACTATTGACCCCAGAGGGCACATGCCCATCTACCTATTTTCCTTTCTCCTTCCCTCATCTGTCCTGCCTGCAAATACACCCCACTCCCAACCCCGTTTGCCTGCTCAAACTGGTGACTGGCAGCATGGTGCAGCTGCAGACTCTACTCCTCCTACAGTAAATACGAATAATGAAAACAACCGTTTGGGTGAAATTCAAGCTTGGATGGAGGCAGCAGTTACAGGAAAAGAAGTTTGGTGTTCTGTTTCCAAGAGGTAGACAGCGATATTGTATACCTGGAAAGCTACAATGACTACAGCTCCCTGCTGAGGTATAACTGCCCTGGAACGCACACACTTACAGGAAAAGAACTTAACCTTAGGGATAGCAAAACTCTTAATGGCTTTTCACAAGCTTACACAGGGAGAGACTAGGACGGGGTGGGCAAACTACGGGCCAGCCCATCAGGGCTTTGGAGACGGCCCGCAGGATTGCCACCCTCGTGGCGCCACGGGCCCCGCACTGCTCACGGAAGCAGCCGGCACCACTTCCCTGAGGGAGGGAGGGAGGGAGGGGATCAGAGGGCTCTAGGCTGCCTTTGCCTTCAGGCACCACCCCTCGCAGCTCCCATTGGCTGGGAACAGGGAACCACGGCCAATGGGAGTTTCAGGGGAGGTACCTGCAGGCGAGGGCAGCGTGCAGAGCCCTCTGCCCTCCTCTCCCCCGGGGCCTCAGGGACGTGGTATCATCCGCTTCTGGGAGCGGCGCAGGTCCAGGGCAGGTTGCCCTGGTGCATGCTGCCACCACCCCAGAGCCACTCCAGGTAAGTGGTGCTGGGCCAGAGCCTGCACCCCTGCCACACCCCAAACCCCTCCTGCACCCCACCCCTGCTGAACCCCCCTGTGCTCCAACCCCCTGCCTTGAGCCCCTTCCTGCACCCTGCACTCCCTCCCACACCCCTGCCCCAGCCCTATATTTATGCCCTGCATGGAATTTCCCCACCCCAATGTGCCCCTTGGGCCAAAAAGTTTGCCCACCCCTGGATTAGGGACTGTGAATGCTTCAGATAGTCATTGCAGAACCCTATCTATTTTTCCTCTGCACTTTCACCATGTCTGCAGGGGAGATAAAGCAAAATCTAAGAGAGAGAACTTCCTCCATTTTTGTTCTATGATTATGAGGAATAATTCATTCCCTCCCTCCCCCATTGTATAGCTTACAACTCCCTTCCACTCCCCAGCCATGCAACGGGGGACTATCTTGGTGAATAACTTCACAGCCTATCTTGCTGGTCTGCCCTTAGCCTATTTCAATAAGGCCATTCTCTGCCTCCCAGTCACCTACCTCCGTGTAATATCATTCAGAGTCAGGACAGCTTAAAGGG